TGCCCTACTCCTTTGAGTCACAGGAGCCGCCCTGCTCAGTATATTTTCAAGACTTATTCATGTTGTGGCATGTGTCAACTTCACCCCTTTTAATAGGTAACATCCAGTGTATGTATTTACCACATTTTGTTTATCCATTCATCTGTTGGTGGATGCTTGGACTGTTTCCACTTTCTGGCCATTGTGAAAATGCTGCTATGAACACATTCTTCAGGTACATACCTAGAATAGAATTGCTGCGTCATATGGCAATTCTACACTTTTTGAAGACCCATTGAACTTTTCCACACCATTTTAGATTCTCAACAGCAACATGCCAGAGTTCTAATCTCTCCACATCCTTGTCAACCCTCATTCTATATATATTTAAATTTGTAGCCATTCTAGTAGGTGTGAAGGGGTGTCTCATTGTGGTTTTTTTTTTTTTTGGCAGTTTTTTGGCTGGGGCTGGGTTTGAACCCACCACCTCCAGCATATGGGGTCAGCGCCCTACTCCTTTGAGCCAGAGGTGCCACCCCTCTCACTGTGGTTTTGATGTGCATTTCCCTGTTGACAGTTTCCAGTGGTGTTGGACATCTTTTCATGTGTTTTTTTGCCATTTATATATCTTTTTTAGGGAAATGTCTACTGAAATCCTTCACCCATGTTTTAGTGGCATTTGTTTTTCTGTTGCTGTAGTTCTTTATATATTCTGAATATTGAGCCTTATCAGATATAGGACTTGCAAATATTTTCTCCCTTTCTGTAGGTTGTCTTTTCACCTTGGTGTTTGTCTCTTGATGTACAAATGTTCATTTCAATGAAGCCCAATGTACCCAAGTTTTCTTTCATTGCTTGTGAATTTGGTGCTCATTGCAAGTTTTATTTGGCTTTAGGCTCTATAAGAAGGGCATACACTGAATGTAATCTTCTGAAATTTGAGGTTTTCTTTCAAAACTACATTTATAAGATTATCCATGTTCTTGCATAATTTATTCATTTTCATGGCTGTATAACATTTCATTATATAAATACATCACACGTTATCCAGAAATTGAGGGGCATTTGTATTGTTTCTGGGTATTTTGCTAGTGTATTGGTGCCACCAGGGGTATCCCCAAGTGATTCCTTTGCATAGTCTAATTTAAGAACTACTACTTCTTTTTTATTTATTTTGGAGATGGAGTCTCACTTTGTCACTCTTGGTAGAGTGCAGTGGCATCACAGCTCACAGCAACCTCAAATTCTTGGGCTCAAGAGATTCTCTTGCCTCAGCCTCCCAAGCTGGGACTACAGGCACCCACCACAACAGCCAGCTATTTTTAGAATCAAGGTCTTGCTCTGGCTCAGGCTGGTCTTGAACTTGTGAGCTCCAGCAATTCACCCGCCTCGGCCTTCCAGAGTACTAGAATAACAGGCATGAGACACCACACCTGGCCTAGTATTCTTTTTTAATGGATAAAGAAATTTCTTACTGAGTTGCTATTGATTTTCATTTGAACAGTACTCATGATACACATAGGTGCAGATGTTTGACTGAAACATTGATTTTTCTCATCTGCCTATTTGGACTAATCACCAAGAAAGGTCCGTGTCAGTCTACACTATAGCTTTAACTGCTTCATGTGATTTTTGCAAAAAGCAATTGGAAAAGACGCAATGAACGCAGTTTACTGATTTCAGGTTGGAGAGCTTTTAAGCAAGAGGGAGATGTCTACATGCAGGATGCAGAAATGAATTGTGAAAAGGAAGTGCTTTCTTTAGACCTTTCTACGTGAGGTTGTAGCAGGGTCTATGAGGGGTCTGAACTACCTCTAAGTCAACCCTTTTCAGTGTGAAAGTCCTCCAAAATAAAGAGGCAGACAGCTGATTCCTCCTCACCCCCTGCCCTGTCCTGCCCAGTTTCTGATTTCAGGAACCACTTTGGCAGGTACACAGGGTCATGAACTTGCCAGGTTTCTGTGCTGTTTGTAAAAGAACAACATGGGAAAAGTCAAGCGTGAGGCAAGAGCTCAACTCTTAACAGGGGTGTTGTTTGTGGTTTTGTTACTGGAATATGCCAGTGTGCTGTGACCTTCACAAGGCCAAAGTTTTGTAGACCCAGGAATTACAACATCGAGAGGGGGGTGCAGTGGGATACTGGTGGCATAAAAGGGGCAGCTGGTGTCTGCACCACACTTTCCTTCCAGGGGCCAGACGGACCATGATGAGGTGGGTCTCCAGCTTTCCCTCCTCCCTTTTCTCCGGTTCTTTGTTTCATCCTTCTTTGTGTTCATTGTTAGAGATGCAAAAATACGATGAAGAATCAGGGCAGAAGGGCTAAATGGTGAAGGAGAGGCTTAGAGCATGAAATCTTCTTCTTTTTGTTCTCATAAGAGCCAGTCCTTTCAGACATCTCCTTTCCTAGGAGATGTGATTTACTCCCAGGAGCGTCTTCTTCCTTGAGGTTCCGAAGTTTTAGTCTTTACAGGCGACACCAGCAGCTCCAGTGGTAGGCTTCCTGGCTTACTGAATATATATATATATATGTTAGCTGATTTTTTCCTTTTTAAAAATGTATACGAAAGATCAAGAGAAATATTTGAATGACACAATTAAGACACTTAGATCTGGCTCAGCGCCTATAGCTCAACCGGCTAAGGCGCCAGCCACGTACACCTAAGGTGGCGGGTTCGAATCCCCAGCCTGGACCCGCCAAACAACAATGATGGCTGCAACCAAAAAAAATAGCCGGGCGTTGTGGCGGGCGCCTGTAGTCCCAGCTACTTGGGAGGCGGAGGCAGGAGACTCGCTTGAGCCCAGGAGCTGGAGGTTGCTCTGAGCTGTAATGTCACGACACTCTACCCAGGGGGACAGCTTGAGGCTCTGTCTCAAAAAAAAAAAAAAAAAGACACTTAGATCTTATCGAAATCAAAAGGCTTTTTGAAAAATTGAAATAACAAGACTAGAAACTTAATATAACTAACCAATCCTTGAATGGTCAATACTTGTCAGTGAGGTGGTCAGGTGGGAAGTGAGGCTTGTGCATCCTGCTTTCGGGAAGCCAGTCCTCTTCCAGGTAATGTTTGGCATTTGGGGATTTGATATACCATTTCCTAGAGGAAATCATAAAGTAATGGAAACAATCACATAAATGTTTTAAAATTTATATTTTAAAAACCATTATAGAAAATTTCAGAAAGTAGCATAATAAACTCCTATCTACTGTCTATCAAGTTATCTACTTTTTTTTTTTTTTGGAGACAGAGTGTCACTTTGTTACCCTGGGTAGAGTACCGTGGCTTCATAGCTCACAGCAACCTCAAACTCTTGAGCTTAAGTGATTCTCTTGCCTCTGCCTCCTGATTAGCTGGGACTACAGGCATGCATAACTGAATGCGGCTAATTTTTCTATTTTTAGTAGAAAAATAAATAGACCCTGCCTTGGAGTCTTGCTCTTACTCAGGCTGGTCTTGAACTCCTGAGCTCAAGTGATCCACCTGCTTTGGTCTCCCCAGAGTGCTGGGATTACAGGCGAAGTTATCTACATTTTATTAGCAGTTATCTTTGTAGCCCAGTACATTAGGGCTGCCTGTTAGAGGTCTCTCTTTGCTGGATAGGTCACATATGATTGCTAATTTAATGTGTCCTGAATGCAGCCAGAAACCGAGGCCCACCCACCTACATGCCTCCAGGTCTTGGTGATCCTTCTCTGAAGCTTATGCAAATTCCCTATAGATCAGAGTTTATGGAAGCTGGGTGTGCTCGGGAGCTGCTGAGGGTTCATATGGGTGGGTGGGGCAGCTTCTTGGTCCTACCCCTTATATGGATTTTCTTTTCTGGCTCTTTAATGGGAGATGTGTGCATATGCGTGCATATGCGTGTGTGTCTGCTGGGTACACATTTGTTCGTGTGTGTGTCTGCAGGGCGCACATGTGTCCGCAGGGTGCATGTGTATGGAGGTATGTGCATGTATCTGCGGGGTGCACATGTGTGTGCATGTACATGCCTGCTCTGAAGCAGGGAGACTACCTTTGCACTCCTTCCTGTATTCTGTCTGCAGTGCCCTGGGAGCTGTCGTTGCCCTCCTGCTCTGGGGACAGCTTTTCGCAGTGGACGTAAATGATGTCACAGATATTGCAGGTGGGTCTTAGGGTATGGGCAGGAACTGTGCATCCCCAGCACAGACCTACCATCCTCATCTCAGGGGTTTCAGTGCCACGAAGAACACCGGAGATCCTGCCAGAGATGTGAGGAGACATCTCTTTCCTTGGCTTCCATTTAGAGTGGAGGAAGGTCAATGTGGGTCTCTGGCAGCAATTTCTGAATATTCATCTCCTCTCTGGCTTCTTTTTCTTTGCAGACGATGGCTGCCCAAAGCCCCCTGAGATTGCAAATGGCTACGTGGAGCACTCGGTTCGTTATCAGTGTAAGCAATACTACCGACTGCGGACTGAAGGCGACGGTGAGGCCTGCACAAGTGTCTCTGTGCTCCCTACACACCCCGCCCAAACACTGCCATGATGGATGGGGCTGGGGTGACTGGAAGGAAGTTCACGTTTAGATCCTAATAATGATTTGGTGACCAGTTAACTGTGGTCTTTTAGGCACACTCGCTTTCCTCGGCCCCAGTTTTCTCTTTGTTAAGAGGCGGCAATGCCACGGAGCCCACCCATTTCGGAGGAAACTCTCTGACAGGAGCTCTGGCCAAAGAACAAATGACACCACAGGAAGAAGCCTTTATCTAGAAATTCTCCAGTGCTGGCACTACACTGAGGGCTTTATGTTTATTTGCTCCCTTAGTCCTCACAGCACCCCTCTGAAGAGATTTTTCTTTTTTTTTTTTAAGATAGAATCTCACTCTCTTGCCCTGAGTTGACTGCCATGGTATCATCATAGCTCACAGCAAGCTCAAACTCTTGGGCTCAAGAGATTCTCTCTCACTTTCTCTCTTTTTTTTTTATGGACAGAGTCTCACTTTATCGCCCTTGGTAGAGTGCTGTGGCATCACAGCTCACAGCAACCTCCAACTCCTGGGCTTAGGCCATTCTTTTGCCTCAGCCTCCCTAGTTGGGACTACAGGCACCTGTCACAATGCTCGGCTATTTTTTGTTGCAGTTTGGCCGGGGCCAGGTTCGAACCCACCACCCTCAGTATATGGGGCTGGCAGCCTACCCATTGAGCCACAGGCACAGCCCTCAAGAGATTCTCTTACCGGAGCCTCCTGAGTAGCCGGGACAATAGGTGCCCAACATGATGCCTGGCTAGTTTTTCTATTTTTAGTAGAGATGGAATTTCGCTCTTTCTCAGGTTGGTCTCAAACTCCTGAGCTCAGGCAATCCACCCTCCTTATCCCCCAGAGCTCTAGGATTACAGGTGTGAGCCACTGTGCCCAGCCTATTACTCTCATTTTTCTGAGGCATCAGAGGCACAGACAGGCCTAAGACCCACCTGCAATATCTGTGACATCATTTACATTAATTGTGAATAGCTGTCCCCAGAGCAGGGCAACAACAGCCTCCAGGGTGCTGCAGAGAATGCAGGAAGGAGTGCAAAGCTAGTCTCCCTGCTTCACAGCACGCGTGTACATGCACACACATGTGCACCCTGCAGACACACACGTTCAGGCAGCCTGGAAGTGGCAGAACCAGGATTTGAACCCCGAGCCCTCCCTGTACTGCCTGGCCATGACTGCTGTGGCCACATCCGTGCAGCTGGACTGAACCAGCACCAGCCCTTGGCTTCCAGCACGATGCAACTCCCCCTTCTTCTTCTTCCTTGTCATCTTTTAAAATTATTCTCTTTAAATACCTTCTCTCTCGATTCTTTGTCCATATTCGATTTTCCTTTTGACTCACTTTCTTCCTCGTTTCAGGAGTGTACACCTTAAACCATGAGAAGCAGTGGACAAACAAGGCCGTTGGCGAGAAGCTTCCCGAATGTGAAGCAGGTGGGAGCTGAGGGCTTGGGGTACAGGCTGGCAACTAGGGGACTGTCAGAGAGACACAGCCTGTCTGGGTGGCTTCCTCTCAGTGCACAAGAGCCAAGAGGAGAAATCAGGGAGCCACAGCTGCTCAGGCAGAGATGAAGCAGTAAGGTGATAACTCTGGGCAGAGCTCACTAAGAGTCTTGTTCATCTGGGCCTGGGAGGGCATGGGCTGAATCCACCATCTGTACTGCCCTCAGATCAGGAGATCCATGCATGCAGATAGCCAGCCCAGACAGCCCTTGGTCAAAGGTAAAGCAGGCTCCAGGAACAAGTCAGGTAAACATGAAATCTTAACCCCTGGTAGTGTAACAGGAAGCAGGAGACTTCTGTTTGTTTGTTTTTTTTTTGGAGATAAGAGTCTCACTATGTCACCCTCAGTAGAGTGCTGTGGCATCACAGCTCACACCAACCTCAAACTCTTGGGCTTAAGCTATTCTCTTGCCTCAGCCTCCCAAGTAGTCCCAGGGACTACAGGCGCTGTCACAATGCCTGTTTTTATTTTTTGTAGTTGTCATTGTTGTTTGGCAGGCCTGGGCTGGATTCAAACCCACCAGCTCTGGTGTATGTGGTGCCTTAGCCACTGAGCTAAAGGCACTGAGCCAAGACTTCTGTTTCTTGATATTGGTCAAAAAGTATCTCTCCTCCCCTGCCCCCCATGGAACAAGAGGATCTGGTCCTTCCCAGCTGCTTCTGCTACTAGCGGTGTGAAACTGCCTTGTGTTAACTGCACCATCTATACAATCTGAGTTCTAGCCAGTGCTACACATCTCTCTTTATCCAGAGAGAGTGAATTATCACAGCCCCTCCAGTGCATATCAGGGAATTGTGGACATTCTTTTGTGATGAATTGTTTATAAATATAATATAGTTCATTATCCAGAGCTCAAAAATCTCCGTTACTCATTTCTCTTGTGAGTTAGGAAACCAGGCAATAGAACTCTGGTTTGTGAAGTTAGCAAGTAAAAAGCCAAATTATTTTAAACTGTAAACATTGGAAACGAGATGGGCAGGGAGGAAAGGCAAAGCATTTCAGTCTTTCTAGCTTTGAAAGCAGAGGAGGAGGATAGCCTGGATAGCAGCTGGGGCCAATGCTTCTTTCCCTCCTTCTTGGATTGGGAGCCCCTTTTGCACCTCTGCTCATGAGTCTCTCTCGCTCTCCTTGACAGTATGTGGAAAGCCCAAGAACCCAGTGGACCAGGTGCAGCGGATCCTGGGTGGCTCTGTGGATGCCAAAGGCAGCTTTCCTTGGCAGGCCAAGATGGTCTCCCGCCACAATCTCACCACAGGGGCCACGCTGATCAATGAACAGTGGCTGGTGACCACAGCTAAAAATCTCTTCCTGAATCACACAGAAAACGCCAAAGCAAAAGACATCGCCCCTACCTTAAAACTCTATCTGGGGAAAAATCAGCCTGTGGAGATTGAGAAGGTGGTTTTTCACCCTGACTACTCCAAGGTAGATGTCGGGCTTATCAAACTCAAACAGAAGGTGCCTGTTAATGAGAGAGTGATGCCCATCTGCCTACCTTCCAAGGATTATGCAGAAGTGGGGCGTGTGGGGTATGTGTCTGGCTGGGGGCGAAACGCCAACTTTAGGTTTACTGAGTTACTTAAGTATGTCATGCTGCCTGTGGCTGACCAAAAGAAGTGCGTGATTCACTATGAAAACAGCACAGTGCCCGAAAAGAAGGGGCCAAAAAGCCCTGTGGGGGTGCAGCCCATACTGAACGAACACACCTTCTGTGCTGGCATGTCCAAGTACCAGGAAGACACCTGCTACGGTGATGCTGGCAGCGCCTTTGCTGTTCACAACCTGGAGGAGGACACTTGGTATGCGGCTGGGATCCTGAGCTTTGATAAGAGTTGTGCTGTGGCTGAGTATGGCGTGTATGTGAAGATGACCTCCATTCTGGACTGGGTTCGGAAAACCATAGCTGACAACTAACCCAAACATGGCCAGAAGCCCTTGCCTGAAAGCAAGGTCTCCCCCTGGTGGAGGGAAAAGTGGACAGGAGCAGATAGGGTAAGACACTGTCTGAAGCTGATAGGTGCCAGCCCTGTGTTCTGGGTCAATCAATAAAGTTTTCTCTTGACTCATTTCTGTGCTGTGTTTAGTCCTAGGTCTTTCTTATTCTTTCATTTATGGTCCAGCAGCAGCTGAGTGGTATAGCGTCTATAGGGAGTGTACAGAAAAGACCTCAAACCAACTGGAAACCCCTTAGGGTGACACCAACTGTTCCACCTTGGGGAATCCTGCTCACTTGAGTGCCTACTGAATGCCAGGTCTCAGAAAGGTCATCGTCATCTTTGTTCTATAGACATGGAAATGGAAACTGGGAGAAGTTAAATGATTTGCTTAGTGTTAGAAAGATATTCAGTAGTAAAGATGAACTTGAACCTAGGACTGTTTGAACATAAACTTGGAGGTCTTTCCACTGCATCCTGTCACTTCTTTAAAGTGAATTAGGAGAAAGGGTGCAGGCCTGGTGAGGAAGATGTTAGCTCAAAATGGGATGGAAAAAAGTGTTTTGACACAAACAGCACTTTTTTGTGTTCCAAACTACCAGCACTCCAGAAAACAAAGAAAGATGGTGTAAAGGAAGGATCTCTGGACTTGTTGGGTTTGAATCATAGCTTAGAGCATAAATTGGCTAAGTTCTTCAAGCATCCTGGTCTTTTCCATGAGGGGCTTAAAACACACAAGCTCTAAAGTCCCTACCAGCAATTTAACATTCTGGGACTCCATAGAAATTTGGGAGGTCAGAGTCATGTCCCCTGTAGGAGCTGCTTTTCCTACTTGGAAGAAACCTGCCTTCACTAGGGAACTAAATGCAAGCCATCTGAGTCTTACCTTCCAAAGACAGGGGTCTTGCTGTTAAGACCAGTCTCCCACTGTGGTTCTCAACCCCTGGGCCACTGTGGGGAGGCAGACAGATCTCTGTGGGGTGCCTCAATCAAGGTTAAAGCACAAAGCACGAGGGTGGGCCATCCCGGTGGGCTCCTTATCAGACCACTGAAATGAAAGGAACACGGAGGCACCCAGACAGGGTAAAGTCACCAAGACCTTCCCTGCACAGAGAATCAGCTGGCAGGCAGGGCTGAGCCCTTTGAACTCCTAATATGCCGTTAGAATACGGAAGCTGGTTTGCCTGCCCTGCAGTGATGAAACTTGATTTTTCCCTCTCCCTTTCCAAATGGGTTATCATGTTATTGACAACTCTCTATCCTATATTTCCGATTACCCAGTCATTTCCTTTTATCTAATCTTCCTGGGGTCTTGGGATTTTTTTAATCCTATTTTTGAATTTTTACACCTTTGTATCTTTTCATGAATGCTCTGTCTTAGAGATCAGAAAAAGGTTTCTGAGGAGTCAACAAGTTGCTGCATTGTCTCAATCTGCCACTTGACATGTGAGTTACTGTATGCCTCTCCAGCTACCCAGACTTTATACACTAAGTTGCTGTAAAGTCTTGTTACTTCCCCAGCGTCTCCTCTGTCAACCTCCAACTCAGATCAGGGTCCCCAGGGAACCCCAACAGGCTATGGACCTCCTGTGGAGGGTAGCAATGTCACAGGCAGAGCTCCGCCTCCCTTCCTGTCCCCACTATCTGCCCGTGGAAAAACTGTCTTCCACAGAAAAATCATCTTTCATGAAACTTAGGAACTGGGCCATATAGCAGGTGAGCAGTTGGTGATCTAATGAAGCATAGATCATATGTATTTATAGCCACCAGCCGCTCCCCACCATTCCCATCATTGCCTGAGCACTGCCCACACCCCCATCTCTCCACCCCTAACCTCCCTCTGTGGAAAAATTGTCTTCCATGAAACCGGTCCCTGGTGCCAAAAAGGTTGGGGACAGCTGGCCTCCCAGAAAAAAGGTTCTGGGAGTCTTATAAATAGGAAGCTCATCTAATGAAACTTTCTCCATATAAGCCTTTAGTACACTGACCTGTCCGCAACACATCCCCTTCTCATGCCAAAAATACAGCTTCTCCTCCTCATGGTGCACAGTGTCACTCGTGGCCCTCTCACTTATCAGGGTCTGGCCTCTACTGCAGTTCTCTCACATGCACCCTCAAGATCCACGGCTAAATTTCAACAGGTTAGAGCTAGAGGACCAGTGAAGACATGCACCTTTCATTCTAGAACCTGGGGAACAGACACTGGAAAAAACATAGTCCAACACTTAGAATTACTGAGTGTATTAAGTGGTTTCTGGTCACTACTCACGAGCAAAATGATGACAACAGAAAGCCTCTGGCATTTTCTTGATCATTGATCTCTCTGTCCAGCAGCCCTTGCCGTTCTGGACACCCCCTGCCATCTCGTCCCTGGGGCCTTTTTCCTCAGGGCTGAAATGCCCTCCCCTTTCTACATGAGTCATTTGTATCTACACAGCACTTAGCACAGGATGGGACATACAGGACATAGTCAGTAAATACTTATGGCGTGGAAAGCAACTGGGAAGGGTCAAAAATGTAAATTGAGACTTCAGAGAAAAATTCTCCAGAGCCTTCAGAAGGAAAGATAGGAGAATTTTCCACATGCAAGTTCTGAGTTTTTCCATCTGAGTAAACATAAAATCTGACTAACAGTGACTTAGGCAATGAAGACATTTTATTCTTTTATGGATGTTGGAAGGAGGTGGGTCTAGAGTTCACTCAGGAGCTCAATAACATCATCAGGGACCAGGCTCTTTTTATTGTTCCCACTACACTGATTTTTCATCCCGAGGTTGACAGCCTCATGGTGCTAAGAAAGCAGGATGTGGAGGAAAGCAGACAGAGGTGGTGGTGACAGGGTTTGTTTTGCCTTATTCCTGGAGTGGCTCTCTTATCAGCCCAGAAGCCTTCCCTCTATGGCCAGAATCAAGTCCTGCAGTCACCCCTCCTGCAGGAGAGGCTTAGAAAGGAAGCTGCTGGCAAATGGGGTGAAACTTTCAGTGACAGTGCTGCCCCGAACAGAATGGGGCTTCTGTCCCCAAGGTGGTCAGGGGCTGTCTAGCAAGTGATAAGCTGCCCAACGCCCTCCAGCTCTGTACCCATTTCCTCATCCTAGAAGGTCAATGCCTTGAGGTTTTGAAAAGAGAAGTAACTTGACCAAGGTTGTACTAGGTGACCCTGGAATAGCAAGAATTCCTCATAAAGTTTTTAAAATAGGCAAATCTCACAACAGTGACATTTCTTTCTAACAATTCTAACATCTCTTTTAGTTTTGAGCCCTGGAAGTATAATTCTGTGCCTCAGGAAGGGGTGGCAACTTCTGGGCGAGATTTGTTTCTACTTACCAAGAGTGGTTAATTCTTTGTTTCATTCAAATTTGGTACTGGAGGGTGTAGGTTCAAGTTCTCACTTCTTTGGCAATGTAACAACATAGAAGCTAGTTAAGTGAGCCAAACATGGCAGTGCTGTAACAGTCAGAGCCAGCAAGTCTCCAAAATAAAAGAAATGGGCAAGAAGAGCTATTCTCTATTCAGTAGAGAATTCATTATTCTAAGAGAAATTAGGTAATAAGGACTGGAGCTTTTGGGGGTGTGTGTGTCTGCATACACATCTAGTGTAGAAAATATGTATTTTTGCTCCTATGGGCACTGATTCTCCAATTTACTTGGTTATCAAATAAACATGGTTAAACTGAACTGGTTATTAACCAATGTTTGTGAAGATTCTGAACTATCTTTAGGTATAAAGAAAGCACACTATAAAAAGAAAGTAAAAACCACCCTGGGGAAAGTGAACACCACTGACTGACTGCTCTGAGGTTCACAGGGAGCAGATATGAGGCATCTCAGGTGGGCTAAGGAGCGATATTCTCCCCAGGGGCCAGAACTCTACATGCACGTTTGTCAAACCCCTTCTCTGCTGGGACACTGGACACATTTCTGAAGGACTCCAGAAAAACAGCACAGCTGGGACTCAGGTACTGTTTCCAGACGTGTTTTTCTCTTTGTCTTTGACAGCAGTTAGTGTGTTAAATGTCTTGATAGAGAAGGTCATACTTGGGAATATTCTTTGGATCAATAGGACTTTGGACAACAAGTTTTCCTCTCATTGCTCCTCGATAGATTACTTCAATCAAATCTATGAAGTCTTGTTTTGTTTTGAAACTTCCCACAAACTTAGTGTGATCTGGAGACCTAGACAGCACAAAAGAGAAACAACTGCTCTCAGAACTTTTAATAATCAGTTTCTGAAGACTTTCAGGATGAACAAAAATATCTTTGAGTGGGTAAGTATTAAAAAACATTTCAAACATCACCTATACTCATTGTAGACTTTTTTTTTTTTTTTTAAAACATAAAATCAGGCTGGGCGCGGTGGCTCATGCCTCTAATCCTAGCACTCTGGGAGGTTGAGGCAGGTGGGTTGCTTGAGCTCAGGACTTCAAGACCAGCCTGACCCAGAGTGAGTCTCTAAATATAGAAAAACTAGCCAGGTGTTATGGTGGGCGCCTGTAGTTCCAGCTACTCAGGAGGCAAGAGGATTGCTTGAGCCTGGGAGTTTGAGGTTGCCGTGGTATGTGATGCCACAGCACTCTACCCAGGGCGACAAGAATGACATTCTCTCTCAAAAATAAATAAAAAGAACAAAAAACCACCAGTGAGGCCAGAGGTCACTGTTTGGTATATGTACTTCCAATCTTACGGGTGTGTATGTGTACGTATGTGCACATGTATTTCTTTTTTCATAGTATTGGAAATTATATTATACAAACTATTGAGTAATATACTTTTTACCCAACTAATACATATTTCTTGTGAAGCCATTAATCTACAACATCATGTTAAATTTCTGGAAATGTAATTACTGGGTTAAAAAGTTTAAATACTTTTAAGTGTTTCATATATAAGGTCATAAATTGCCCTCCAAAAAGGCTATATCAAATCAATACTTACATCAACTAGATTCCAGAAGAATAAATAGCTCTAAAATGCACTTTCAAATAGACAATGATAAAAAGGCATACAGATCTAGACAAGTAGACACCTGAACCACGTGAGAAATGATAGATACATTCAATAATAAATGTAAAGAAAGTATTTCGACAGTAACTGGATGAAGCAGAGGCATTAAAGAAGACTTCACGTCACTTATTCTTGGCTTTGGTGAAGATTGATTTCAAAATTCTCCAAGTGGCAGAAGATAGGAAACACAGCGAGAGAGAAGCATATCCTAGTTTGCTAGAAGGAATGCTTCTTTTATAAATCCCACTTGCCAGGCCCAAAGGTTAGGAACAACTACATATTTTGTTTTAGATGAAATTCCTAGAAAACTTTTTAAGTTCTTTCCTTAGCTAACATAACTGTTCTATATTTTAGAGTTTCAGATAGTTAGTGTTTCATAAATTGTATTATTCCTTCATATTTAAGTTGGAAATTAGAATTTGCCAATCACACCTGAAACATTCTCATTTTGTACAAAAGTTTTACATAAAAAATTATAGACTATACCAACTGAGGAAACAATACTGATATAAGACTCACAGAGCCAGCATCACATGCAAATAGGTGAGATACTGCAACTCCTTAGATAAAAGACACTTTCAAGATTGTTATAGGTAGTCACCCTGACTTACCCATAATCCACTTTCATATGCTGCCCATTGAAGAAAAAGACAGTAGATGGAATATAGCTGATGTCAAAATACTGTGTATAAACGGGAGTTCGGTCCACATCTACCAGGTATATAGCGGCCATTTTACTTAGGTCAGAGGAGGTCTTAGAAAGCTGCAGATGACAACAGACATGTAGGTTACGATAGGAGAAGTAGCTAATGTGTCTTTTTTTTTTTTTTTTTGAGACAGAG